ACAACCAGGCGGCAGCGTCGACCCAGAGTCCGGGAGACTCTCGTCGCCTGAGCATCCAGCGCTGCATCCAGTCGCTGGTCCACGCGTGCCAGTGCCGCAACGCCAACTGCTCACTGCCGTCGTGCCAGAAGATGAAGCGTGTCGTTCAGCACACCAAAAGCTGCAAGCGCAAGACCAACGGCGGCTGTCCCATTTGCAAACAGCTCATTGCGCTGTGCTGCTACCACGCCAAACACTGCCAGGAGAACAAATGTCCCGTGCCGTTCTGCCTCAACATCAAGCAAAAGCTGCGGCAGCAGCAACTCCAGCACCGGCTCCAACAGGCGCAGATGTTAAGGCGGAGGATGGCCAGCATGCAGAGGGTGGGGCAGCCCGCCGGGGGTCAACCGGGAGGGCCCGTGATGGGACTGCCGTCACCGGGCACGAATGGCATCACTGCACCCAGTACGCCGACATCTGTCGGGACTCAACCTCCAACTCCTCAGACGCCAACTCCGACCATGCCCGCAGTGCCGCAACCGGGATTGGGTCCGGGCCCCGCGGGTCAACAAGTTCCTCCACCGGGCGCCATGCCTCCACAGCAGCAGCAGCAGCAGCAGCTCCACCACCAGTTTCAGCAGATGCCCGGTGGAGGAGGCACCGGGGGCGTCATGAACTCCCCTCAACATCAGCACCAGATGCTCCCGCAGGTGCAGCAGCAAAGTGGCGCAGGAACCAACCATCAGCAACTCCACCAGCACCCCGCTAACATGCCCGCATTTGCGAGCAGGCCCCCCGGCTCTTCCCCGATCCACCAATCCCAAGGAAAACCGGCTCTTGGATCGGCAACGCCGCCTCGGCAACAACCCGGTTGCCCCGCCATGGGTGGAAATGTCGCTGGTCAACCTCCCAACCAGCCCCAAGGCCAGCCCGCCCTTCCACAGCAGCAGCCTTCCGGCCCTCCGCCGGCCGCAGTTGAAATCGCGATGAAGATCCAGAGGGTCGCCGACGCCCAGAGGAAGATGGCGCTCCAGAGACAAGCAGCCGCGGGCCTGATGCCCCCTCACCCCCACCATCAACAGGGCCAAGGTCAGCAGATGGCCATGGGGCACCCGGGGACCGGAGGGGCGGTGGGACCCCAGGGCATGCCAACACAAAACCAAGCTGCAATGCAATCAGCTCGGTCTCACATGGAACAACAACAGCAGCAGCAGCAGCAGAGCGCTCCGGCTGGGATGATGGTTGGTGCCGGTGGGCCCATGCTACAGCATCAGCAACAGCAAGGGAACATTCCACAGGGACAGATCCCATCTCAAGTTCAACTTCAACAGCAGAGGATGGGCGCCCCACTTCAAAATCCGCAGCAACAGCAGTGGACAGGCCCGGGGATTCCACCCCAGCAAAGGCAGACCATGATGAACCAAATGGGCCATCAGGTGTTGATGGTAGCACAGCAACAACAACAGCAACAACAACAACAACAACAAATGCAGCAGCAGCAGCAGCAAGCTCAGAGCCATACTGCCATGATGACGATGGCACAGCAGCAACAACAACAACAGCAGCAGCAGCAGCCACAAGGTGTCGCCGGTGCGGTGCTTCCAGGACCCGGGCCCGGAGCTGCTGGGGTCCCAGGAACTGGTGCAGGTGGTAACATCACCCAGGCCGCCCTGCAGGATCTTTTACGCACTCTGCGCTCGCCCAGCTCGCCGCTCCAGCAGCAACAAGTCCTCAACATCCTGCGCTCCAATCCCCAACTCATGGCCGCGTTTATCAAACAGAGGGCCTCGAAGTACAAGGGAGGTCCCGGACCCACCGGCGGGCCTGTCGGGAATGTTATGGCGGGCGGGGGGCCACAGGTGAACATGAATGCAGCCAGCGCGGGCCAGTCGGCGATGCACATGGGAAGCCAAGGAGGGGCGAACATCGCCACTATGGCTCAGCTACAGCAACAACAGATGCAACAGCAGCAAATTCAACAACAACAACAACAACAGAGACCAATGCTAGGTGGCTTACAGCAGCAGCAAGTTGCAGCTCTCCAGCAGCAACAAGCCGGCGGAAGAGGACTGCAGGGGTCGCAAATGGCCAATCTGAACAATCCCCAATTTCGAGAGCTGCTCAGGAGGAGACATCTTCAACAACAACAGCAACAGCAGCAGCAACAGCAGCAATCGCAACAACATCAACAGCAAATAGGGCTCAATCACGGTCAGTTTCAGCAGCCCCAACCTCCCCAGGGCCAGGGTTACATGGGCCAGCCTGGGATGCAGCCACCCCCAGTGGGACAGGGCCCCCCAGGAGGTCCTCAGCAGCCCGGGGGTCCCCCCAGCCAGCAGGGTCCGGGTTATCCCGGCTCGGCCCAGCAACAGGCCGCGGCCGCACTGCAGCAGCGGCTCCAGCACCAACACCACCTTCAGATGCAGCAGCAGAACGCCATGGCGGGCCTGCCCGGGGGTGATTCGGGGTCCGGCGGCGGGGGTGGCGTGGGACCACCGCAGGCGCCCCAGGGCCCTCAGACGAGCCAAAACGGGCCCCCGCCTTCTCAGGCCCTCCTTCAGCAGGCCCTCCACCAGAGACTGCTGCAACAGCAGCAGCAACATCTCGGTGCCGGGGGCTCGCCGGCGCAGCACAGCAATCCCATGAGCCCCCAGCAGCCCCCCCAGATGGCCCAGTCCCCCCACCCTCACCTGCAAGGCCAGACGCTGCCCACCTCCCTGGCCAACCAGGTGCGCTCCCCCCAGCCTTCCCCCAGACCCCAGTCGCAGCCGCCGCACTCGAGCCCGTCGCCGCGCATGCAGCCGCAGCCGTCCCCTCATCACATATCGCCCCAGATGCAGACGGGCTCCCCCCACCCAGCCCACCTCAACCAGCACCACCCAGGTATGGTGGTCCCGCAGCAGCAGCAGCAGCAGCAGCAGCCGCCTTCGTCCCAGCAGCAGCAGCAACAGAGCTCCCTGGAACAGTTTGGCTCGGAGCAGAGTGCCATGTTATCCCAGCTGAGTGGCATGGCGGCTCTGCATGGGCAGGGGGGCAACAGCCAGGACCCACTGGGCCAGAATATCAGTCACAACCCTTTAGACATCATGTAGGAATTCTACTTCATGTGTCATGTTGAGCTTGGGGGAAAAAAACAAAAACAAAAGCTCCGATCCTTCGCACAAACTGCACTCATCCAGGACAGTGTTATGTTTATGTATCTATCTTTATTACTTAGCCTTTTTTAAAAAAAAAAACAACTTATTAAACGTTATTTAAAATGTTTTCATTAAAGATGCATTGAACTGAACTTTCTATGGGAGATGAACAATAAATCAAGCAGTCATTAAATAAATTAGAATAAATGAATTGTAAGTTATTGCTGTTTAATATATTTTTTCGCCAATTATGGACAAAGGGGATGGGGGGGGCAGTACGCGAAAGGTAATATTTTTGGAGGGTTAAGGGGAGAAAATGCCTTTTTAAGAAATGTTTTTAAGTATTCAAGAATTAAAGAGGAAGTGGAATAATGCAAATAACCTTTTTTTTTTTATTATTGTTATTGAATTGTTTCCCGCCATTCAGTCTGTTTTGGGGGTTTTGCAGAGTGAAAGTGGTATTATTATTATTCATGTCAATCCAAATATGATGCATATCTTCCTTTTTATGTTTGGCTTTGCTTTATTTATTGTCTTTTTTTTTTTTTTTTTTTAGGTGGGGGTGTTATGTACCTTGAGACTGCGCTACATTTCCTACAGAAATCTATTTTTGTTATCGAATGGGGTTTGTGGATATTTTTGTTTCACTTTTCGTGTCTTTAGTTGTATGTGTGCGTTTGAGTGTCTGGCCGCGGGGGGGGGAATCAGATGTCAGTGTTTTCTTGCAGTTTGTCAACAGTCTGCTGTGAGTTTGACATGTCGAGAGGACACGTTGCCATGTCCCCGCCATCCTCTGTAACCGCTATTTGCCACGCTGGAAGGGAGCGTTCCCTCGCAAACAAGCAGACCCTCTCCCTCGAATGTGTGTGCACTCCTTCCTTGAAAGACACTCGTGGAGCATGGGAGAATTGGGGAGGGGGGGCTGCGTTACCTGTGTGCCTGTAATCTTTTTGAGTACATCGGCTGGGATGTGAAACATGAGCATGATGGGCTCCTTGTATTGTTTGTTTTTTTTGGGGGTGGGGGGGGGGGGGTTGTTTATTACAATTCTCCTTTCAGATTCAAAAGGAGAATATCGATCCAAATGAACTGTGTTGCACAGAAATGAGGAGAATGCAGGAGATATGAAGCGTCATTCTCCATCTTTCTGCCTCGTCCCAGTTGCTGCTTCCCTTGGACTCCCCCCCCACCCTCCTCCCTGCTTGCCTCTGCCAGGGGGATAATTGTTTCCCCCCCCAAAGTCCATCCTCTATCTTTCTGCTAAGAACTTTGGGAGTTTATTTAATATTTTTTACTGTACAAAGAAAAAAACTGTGGACTCAAATACTGTTTTTTTTAAATAATAAAAAGAAAATGATCATTAATGGTGTGACTTGTTGAATATGAGTATAAAAAGACTGATGTGGGCCTTTCATCTCGCAACTTGGGCAAAACGAGGACCAAAGGTCATGCATGTCACGTTATAAAGGAGACGTTGCGAGTATTTCATTTCATTAAAAAAAATAACTGAGGGACAAATGTACTGAATTAGGTCAGGGAATACAAATATCTGTGCATTCAGTTCAACCATAAACATACTTTTAAAAACTCCTACAGATGGACTCAAGTGAGCAAAAATGTTTGATTATACATCCTGAGACAAAAGACATTTCCCCCTGCTGCTGAGGAATTAACTGCTCAAAGAAGTCGGTTTGCGATGATGGTGACAGTTCTCTCCTACGTCCTCCCGACATCCTTGAAAATTCGGTCTCGTCCCAACTATGATATAAATAAAGGCCTGAATAATGACATAAGACTCGAGTTTGAAAAGAGTTCATATTTTATTAGTTTAACATACAAAACAATATGCTTTTTTTTTTTTTTTTTTTTTTAACAAACACTGACAAAAAATAGTGATCGAACAACTCCATACGTGAACTGAAGCACATTTGCCTCACCATCCAAAACGAGACACCAGCTTGCTCTGATCGTCCAGATCTTTTTGAACCTTCTTCCTCATGTAGAAGATGGGGCAGTCGCGGCTGAGGAGCAGAACAGCGGGACACATCGGTTAAGCGACGACAAAGCGGCGCTTGCGCCTTCCGTTGTAAGTAAAATAACGTACCTGGTGCAAAGGACGTCTTCATGGAGCGAGCCTTGGCAACGCTGGCACTGAGTCCACAGTCGAGAGAAACGCTCCTCCAGTGTGTTTAAATGGAAAATCTGCAAGCAATGACCCAATTTAAGAAAGGACCGACTGCGACATAACCGATGTCAACGTGCCGACCAACCTCTTTTTGGTACAGTTCCGACTCCTTCTTCTTACAGAAATCACACACAGCAGCTGCAATGAGACAAGACATACACATTTCATCTCATCATGTGTGCTGTGGGAAATTATTCAATGATGACACCGGTGTGATTATGAGCGGGGATGATTGTTTTGTCTGTGTGCCCTGCGATTGGCTGGCAACCGGTTCAGGGTGTCCCCCGCCTGCTGCCCGAACATGGCTGGGATAGGTCAAGTCGAGCGAAATCCACTCACCGTCCGTCTTGAGCACAGCCTTGCAGCCAATGCAAGTGCTCCTCTTCTGAGCAAACGCCATCAGGCCGCCGACCTTCGACGTCAACACGGTCTTACAGCGCGTGTGGTCGCCCTCTGAAACAAAAGTGAATGTTTATCCCTCGGGAACGACACTCCGTTATTAAACGGAACTGCATGCTGTCAGCATCCAAATAGTATCAAAACAAAAATGGAGGCGGGAAAAAATCACTGACTGAGGAGGACGCTCTCTGCCTTGCTCTCCCCAAGAATGGGCTCAAATATTCTCAGCAGAGGCTTGGACAGCTGCTGGTCCAGGTAGTGCTGTGTGTCAATGGGAATATTGTTTTCCAGCACGTAGATGGGGTCCTAGCATATGGTGTGGAATAAGTGGGGAGAAAAAAAAATGAATGGGTTGCCAGGATAGATAGGGTGCATGCATGGGGAAAACGTGACTGGGGGACGGACCTCTGACTTCATGTACGCCGCCGCTCCTTTGGCGGCCTTCACGATGACGTACGGAACGCGGTCTCCCAGGTTTGGAGCGCTGCCTGCATCTCGCTTCTTCATCCTGACAATCACACACAATAGCAGTGCAACTTTTTTATGACAGAACGTCAACTTTGGGGCCCAACTGACGGTTGAGCTGAATTGCTTTTTAAGGAAAGCACACAGAAAGGAAAAAAAAGCAAAACATTCGGTTGGTCAGACCTCTCAGCCAGCTCCACGTGCGCTTGCTTGCCAGCGTACTCCTGTGCCGTGCGCGTCAGCTCCTTGGTGATGACCAGCTGGCTGATGTCGATGCGGTTGCACAGCAGGTCAGAGATCACCTCTTTGGCGTGAGACACGGCACCCTGGGGATCCCTAAAGACACACAACACCACCGTGAACACGTTTTAAAAAGATTGAACTTCCCCGGGGAGGTTTCGGTGTTGTGAGAAGCGCACCTGTCTATGAGGATTTTCTGCAGGCAAGTGTTAATAAGATTGGCCACAAGGGGGCAGTTGTCTCTGCGGACGGTTTCGATGCCTTTGCAGTCCATCTTGTCGTGCACTTCTGCGTTGGAGGAGAAGTAGAGGCCGGCATAGCGCTTCTTGTTGATCAGCAAGTACGGGAAGTACACCTGCCGAGATGAGCAATCACACGCTTATCTTAATTGTTTGACAAAACAATTCTAAGTTTGCATTCACAGTGTCCATGCTGGACATCCAAAGCCACTTTTGGACGGAGAGGTAACCAAGCGCAACTTCTTCGGATGGGTCTGCATCATCCAAGGCATTACCTTCTCAAACTCCAGTTTGATGGGGGCTACGAAATGGGAAGACACCCACTCTGCGGCCTCTTTCCCAATGTTCATGGCCTCCTGCACCGTGGCAACGCCAAGCTTGACCATGACAGAGTCCGTGTCTCCATAAATTACCTTTGAAGGAGAAAATATCGAGGTCAACAAATAACCCCAAAAGAGGAGAAAAACTAAGTTCAGGAAATTAGACGATCCGTGTGTTCCTCACCTTGGCATCACCTTGGTAACCATTCGAAATGATGTACTTGGACTCCACTAATCGTTTGGTTTCCTCAATCATCTGTCTTCCAAACCCGGTCACGCTCTACATGTAAATAAAATTACATTTTTTTAAAATGATGAAAGAAAATGTGCCTTTGCTCAGTCTAATAGGCAAGCACACACGCCTTTCATTTCCTCTTTCAGCCCACATCAAAGTTTGGCGTGAAGCAAAAAAAAAAAGTGACTTTCCAAGCAATGGTTTACAGTCAGAATTAAAAACAGGATATTAATGTGACTTGGGGACTATGCAATAAGTACCACATTTGGGAACATGTGATTTTAAAAAGCCGTTTCAGTTTACGGGTAACCTAACAGCAACGCATGGTCAACTTTTTGGTGGCAGTCAAAAAAAAAATAAGCATGTCATGTGAGACTCATTGGTTTGCAGCATTACAATGGAACAGTCATGAAAGTGATATCGTATGCTGCTATGCCTCCAACGCAAAATCCATTTTCCTAAAACACAGAGCCATCATTCTTGTTATTTTCCCCATTTCCTGCCTCGCCCTAATCTTAGCTCACTGTGATCAGATGCTTTGATTTCGCATGTGCGGATAAAAGCAAGAAGGGGCTACATTGGAGGAGCTCGCAGTAACGTTCTTGCAAAACAGACACGCTTACCTGGGAGATCTCCAGGCAGGGCAGCTTGCCCACCTGAGCTCCCGTGAAGCCGTAGACAGAGTTTGCGCTGATTTTGAGGGCCAGCTGCCGGCCATCCAGGACCTGCTTCTTAAAAGGGTCCGTTTCTTTCTTCAGCTCCGCTTTCGCCCTGTGGGACGGCACGCATTGCTGAAATCTGCGCACACCTGAGGAGCGAGCGTGTCACGGTTTCTTTTACATTGTTACACCAAGCGTAGCGATTCTGACCTCTTTCTAGCAGACAGCAAGTTCTCCAGGATCTCAGGCAGGAGGCCCTTCCTCACAGAACTCTTCACAAACTGATCGCCGGTGGGCGTCTTGATGAAGTCCGCTGGTGACAACCTCCATTGCAAAGACCATCAATTAGACTTTGTACCTTTCACCTGCGTCCTGCCGCTTCTGGAGAGCATTTCTGTTTCCGAGACCTGACGAGTAATGAAACCAAACTCACCCCAGTTTATCGGCCGCACCTTTCTGCAGCAAGGTGGTGTAGCACAGATTGTGCGCCATCATGATGGACGGATACAAGGACGAAAAATCCAAGGTGGCGATGGGAACGCTGTAATAGCTGAGAGTGAGGTGACAAATAAGATAAAAAAAACCTTGATTTGTCTCACAATGGAGAATCCCAATACAGTTTGAAATGCATGCACGTAAACAGCAACACGAGTGCAGAGCGGGTGCAAGCATGTACCCTTTCTCTGGCTCAATAACGGTGGCTCCGGTGTAATCTTCACCTCCCTGCGACTTCACAACAGGCATCACCAGGTCCTGCTTGGCGGCCTAAACATGAACGCAAAACTGGAAGTCAGGCCTCGGCAACCTTGAATACTCAAAAAGACATTTTGACCGTCTCTCAGTTGGAGGGGGTCGGGGGGGACATCAGGCATAAAGCCCCATGACATCTAAAATGAGAGTAACACATTTTTTTTTTTTTTTTACCTGTACATGAAGTGCTACAGAGAAGCCAAAACATTATTTCGGCATGAAACAAAATCATTTGAAACCCCAAAAGAAGACCCTTGGTTGAAGCTTAAAAACCAAAAAAGAAATGTAGTCATGAAATTAAAGCCAATGCACCTGCAGTGAACCAAAAATGTCATCGTCTGGGTGAATGATTCCAAACACAGCCCAGGTGTCCGCCAAGTGCATCTCTTACCTGTCGCAGTAGCTGGGAGACAACTTTGATCTGTTGACCTCTGGAGAGCAGATAGGTTAGAGGCACTCCGGTCACTCTGGCCATCTCCATGTAATTGATCACGCACATCAACTTCTGCAGCAACCGCAGCGGCAGGTAGGCGTCTTTCAGGCAATACACGGCTAAACGTCGCCGTGTCTGTTCGTTGCCATTCTAATATCGAGCGGAAACATTTTGAATGAGCGCAACCGGGGGCATTAGGGTTGATATCCGGACGGGGTGAGAACGTTACCTGAAGATCGGTGATGATGGAGTGCTGCACGTCCTCCTTTTGTTCTTGCAGAAAGTGGAAACTCACAGCATTCAGTGTGTAGGAGCGCAGTTTGTAGTCCCTGAGCAGAACCTGACGAGAGTGCAGAATGTCGTTACTCATCCGATGGGTCTACAGAAAAGGCTAAGACTACAGGATGCACAGAAAAATACACACCCCAACATATATTTCTTTTTAAATTACATAACAGTATATTTCAGAATGCATTTTTCCAAAACACCCAATTTCTTCCACACCCCAACATATATTTCTTTTTAAATTACATAAAAGTGTATTTCATTTTTCCAAAACACCCAATTTCTTCTGGACGTGTTGAATGTAGCGAGAAGAAGTCTGTCCTGACCTGCAGCAGATCAAACTGAACGCGGCCCTCCATGTTGATGATCTTATTCTCTCTGCGGCCCATCTGCTTGCTCTGGAAGTTGAGGTCCCGCAACACCGACTTGATCCCTCTCACCCGGCCCAAATATGGAAACAGATTGACCTGCGCGCCGATGGGAGTTAATGGCGGCGTCGCGTGACGACAGGCGGTTCTGAAGTATTCAAGTACGGCAAGCGACGCGTCCAACCTTTAACGCGGCAGCCCGGTTGAGCAAGTAGGGGAAGTCAAAGTTCTGGATGTTGTATCCGGTGACGATATCGGCATCTACTGTTCTTAAAAATTCAGCCCAGCTCTGCTCAGACAAAATATCATGTTGAGACTGTTAAAAAAAAAAAAAAAATGAAGTGGTGCAGAACGTGTCAATATGAAACAGAGCGCTTGCTTGCCTGTAGAAGGTGCTTCTCTTGAGTGAAGCACAAAATCTGAGAGCCCACAATGCTGGCGCAGGACTGAAGCGTGAAGACGGTGCGAATGAAGGGCTCCGTCTCGCCCTGCTGCTGCACCATGGACGCTATCTGAATCACCGGGTCTTTGTCAGCTTCCGGGAAGATTCCTGTGTGTAGGAGAGGGCGATGGACAAGTCTTAAAAGTCTGAAATGGCCTTCTCACTGTCGAGCAGTTGGCGGGAAATAGCCAAGTCAAATACTTTGTTACTGTACTTAAGTACATTTTTCTATACTTCTATAAAAACAGACTCATTCATCTGCCAAAGTGGGCTTATTACTTTTTTCAGTTCCCGTGAATGTTGACATGATTAAAAAAAAAGATAAATAGCGGGGGACAACAACTGCAGTGAAAATCCTGATTGAGATCTCGGGGGTCTTGAAAGACAGACTGCACACAACAACGACGCACAAAGACTTCTACTTTAACCAGAATCGCTTTTGAAATAAGTACAAGTACCTTTTCTTCCGGCACATTCAATGTCAAAGCTGAGGACGCGGAGCGGCGCGATCCTCTGCCACTCTCCTTCCGCTGGGTGACTTATCAGGTTGGTCCATGCCACATCCACCTCGTACTGACATAAGGACTCCTAAAAGACAACAACAACAACAAAAAGCAAACGAGTTTGATGCACTGTAGCATCACAAATATTGGCTGGGTGGAGTAAAAGGTGCCTCATGTCGGGAAAGGTACCTTGCCCGGGTGCTTAGGAGATGTGTCCGCTGCATTTTTTTCCTCACGGACTCTGTATTGGCCTTTCGGAAGTTCGATCCAGCAGCATCCAACCACATTGCAGTCCACCATGAATCTGGCAAAACAAAATATTCATCAGGATGAACAGAACACGAGAAAGCCCACACAAGCGTGGCCGGAGCAGAGAATCGAACGCTGAACCTCCAAACTTTGAGGCAGACGACGTGACCACTCGAGCGACTTGATGCGCCACATCATAAAATAAAAAAAAACCCACCTTATTTCAAAATCTATGTTGGCCTCAAATGATTGGTAACAGTGCATGGGAAAAGGTCCGCAATTCAAGCCCTGCTCCAGCAGTCGCTTGGCGGGGGCAATGAGACGAGGCATCGCCATGGTTATCCGCAAGAAATCCAAGCTTCGGTTGCCGTGGTAACCGTACATATCTGGAAAAGTGTCGACAGAAAAAAAACGATAACGAGGGCCGAGAGTCATCACAAAATTGCTTTCTGATGTGATCAGTTTTGGTTCAGGTGAATCGTAATCTGCCCGTTCTTCACATCCTCACTTTCTTTACGGGTGATGTCCACAGCAAGCACGGTGACCGAGATGTTGTCTTTGTTGGAGCGCATGTCCTTCAACACAGCAGAGTTGAGTTCCCTTTTAAAGTCACCCAAGTTATCCGGTGTGAACCCTTTTCACATGGAGCAGAGAACACATTTTGGAGTGGAAAGCATTCCCCCCACAAACATGGAGACACTTTGGAAAAAAAAAAAAAAGTGACAGACAAAAAGGACGTATTCACCATTTGGGGCCGGGACATAGAAGTAAGGCGCAAAGCCATGAACGTGACAGCATACGCTATTTCCACTGTCTGTCACTCCAAACATGCGAATGATGGGGACTTTTCCGTACAACTGACCGGGCATGCCTGCTACAGCCGCTCCTGCATAACAACAGAATTTAAGTCAAGAATGCAACAGGTGTAAAGTGGATACATCCGGCGATGAACGATCTGTCACAAGAAAAGTATTACACAAAGGGGGGTCAATGTACCTAAATAATAGTCCAGATCAATCTGTTGAAACACCAAAGAATCAGAAGATGGGTCCAGTGAAGGGGCATGAGGCCTCCGCCAGCGAGGGTTTAGGTCTGCCGAAAAGAGGTCACCTGGCACAAAAGAAGTTGATAGCTGTTAATTTCACGACAGTACCAGACTGAACTTGCAAACGGATAGTTCTTACATACCAACAGGAATAACATCATGCCCAGCTTGCCCCTCCATCTCCTCTGAATCCATGTCCACATCATCAAACATGGACAATTCCTCCTCAAAATGTGAGGGACTGTCCTCCCATTCACCGGCCATCTTGCTGCGTTTGGCGTGGGAAACGCCACCAGTGAATGGTGCACCATTGCGCCTTTTATAATCCATGACGACAACTGAAAAACAAACACATTTATCTGAACGCTGGCATCCTCAATGATGAACTAAACGCAATTCCACCGCACGATGCAACTATTTGGCATTTTATTTATTGCAGGTCATGATTGTAATTGTGTTTTTTTTTTTCATGCCGACTTCCCCGTTTCAGGCGTTATGTATTTCAGTACCAAATTATAACAGCGTGCTACCGGGATGAGCTAAGTAACAACCACAACCGCATCAATTTTGCTCCATCGCTGATCTAATCAAACGTTTACACGCATTTCTGTCGTAATATTGCAGTCTTTTGGGTTTCTGACAGAGCGTCGTTGACATCAGTGAAAGTTGTCTTACTTTTTCCCAACAGCTTGACTTGACAACAAATCCCGCCACTCTTCAATTCTGCGCAGAAAGCGCGGAAAACAACGTCCGGTTTGTGGTCCGTCACATTCTGCAAACAAGAGGAAATGACGTCTCAATGCGCGGAGTCTTATTTATTTATTTATTTTTTTAATGAATCTTTATTCGAACAAGTCATAGTACAATTCTCAATAAACAGAAAACAAAATGAACATGTTATTAATACATACACATATTACAAACATTTAAACAAAAAAGAAGCCAGGGGATTTTAAACAAAATTTCAAATAAGGAGCATATAGCCAGAGTTTTAACAGCTTTCTTGTTTTTAGAATCCATAATAGAACTTAGGTACTGCTTTATTTCTGTTTCAAAAATTAAGAAAAGAGGTTTTAAATTACCCCATCTGGATTTGTGGATATGGAACTTGGCGAGAATAATTATTAAATTTATAATGAAGGTTTGTTTAGTTTTTTTTCCTTAATTTTGTAGAACCCAAATAGTACATTTTTCCAGTATAGCATAAAGTCAGAGTCAATACGATCAATAATAAATCTGGATAAGCTTTCCAAGGAGTCTTATGTGTTTGAGAGTGCGACAGCAAAAAAAAATTTTTTTTGTTCAAGTCCACTTATTTTGGCAATGTCCTTAGACCAACAAATTCTAGAAACATTCCGATTTGGGTATTGAATCTGAATTCACTTTTACTTGAAATATATGCCGTTTGGTTTCATTCATAATAAGTATTATAATAATAATAATAATAAAGTCTTTCTTATATATTTTATAATTCCTCTTGCAAAATTTCACACACACAAATCCATATTTAGTAATTTGATAACCTCTTTTTGAAACCTGACAGCACATTAGTCGCATATTTAAAAAATATTGGGTAAGTATTGACCAAAGTATTCTTCTTCACTTTTGCCGTCAAACTTTCAAACGCAATCCACATCTGACAGCGCCATCTGGCCGCGATTTCTCAGAGGTCAAACTTGCAACACCGGAAGTCATTCCGTACCCTGTCGACACAACATCCGCAAACGGGGAGACAACATGGTGGTGGAGAAGAAGAACTCGGCACGGGTGGAGGCCGGCCAAAGGAGAGTTCTGGACGATGCCACACGCCAGAGGAGGCTTAGTCGGCAGCTTGAAGCTTTGGAGAAAGACAACTTCCAGGACGACCCTCTGAGCTCGCTCCCCGCGCCAGGTCCGACCGCCCGCCTACCAGCCTTCAGTGAAACGGAGGAGCCTGAGAAGAAGAAGAGGAAGACGCGAGGCGATCACTTCAAGTTGCGATTTAGGAAAAACTTCACGGCGCTCCTCGAGGAGGAGAACTTGGCGGACAAGCCGGAGCCCAACTACCTTTCGGCGCTGGCCCCGCCCTCGTCGCTGCCCCCTCGCCATTTCTGCTGCGTGTGCGGCTTTCCGTCCAACTACACTTGCACGACCTGTGGGGGGCGTTATTGCTGCGTCAAGTGTTTGATTACACACCGAGAAACAAGGTGCCTCAAGTGGACGCTGTGACGGACATTACCCCAATGCCTTGGTAACATATTCACCTCTTCCAGGAACAAAAACTTGTACAGTAATCCCCCAATTACTTACAGCACATTTGACAATGAAGTTGTATTCAATTCAATACTTGCGATTTCATACTTTCCCCAGCTTTTTTTTAAATCCGCATTACTGTGAAGCCTCGCTATATCGCGATTCATTGTTCACCAATGCCACAGTTTGTAGTTTTTAAAATTATTTTATTTTATGGGGTTTACGGCATGCTGGCAAGTCTGAATTTAGGGTTGCGTGTCTTCAGTGTATGTACCACGCTGTGCTTCAACTTGCCCGGGCAGCACTGAACTCTACGAGTAGAGATGTAGTTATTATTAATAGCAAGAAGAAGAGGAAGCAACTTAAGTGGAATGGCAGAGCATGTTTTGTTGTCTCACCGAGCAATAAGACCACCACATCCCTGTTGTTAGATGCTCTGCTCGTATGTGTTGTTGCTCCATGTGTAAGTTGCAATTAATTTAACATCGATACAGATTTTTTTTGCTCTTATATGGCCTTTCAAATTGTATAATTTGATTAAGATAGCAAACTTTCTTGAGGTGGTTCACCATTTTGATGTTTAAATAAATATACAACGTTTAACTCTCTTGTTTGATGTGTCAACTGGGAGTGACAAATTAAACAGCTTGAAGCAAACTTGCTCTGCCTGTCACTCAGTGAACTGTGTGAAAGAGTGAGAGTAGGCATCGAAGAATACTTTTAAAATGTGTTTTAAACTCACTTGCTTGCCTGCGACCCTGATCACTAAATGCCAATCTCACCCATGAGTTCATGCATGATCTCGTTCACATGTGATAAAATGGTCCGAGGTTGGCACTTGACATTAACAGCGCGGAAACATACTTGCACCTCATGGCAGTTACACAGCCCTAAAATTAGCCATACGAGATGTCCGTACATCCCAGGTCATCGGCTGAAGGCTTATTGAGTGTTTCCAGGATCAGAGCCCGTATTTTGTGCGTTGTTGAACAAGTTGGATGTCCATTCTGCATCGGGTTCTAAAAATAAAAATGCTGTTAAAACCTTGAAACTGTGTTTCGTATTTCTTAGTTTTTATTTTGGACCACTGGCATTTTTTTAAATGTATTATTAGAATTATTGTTATATTTACTGTCTATTTGTGTTGATGTTCTCCCGTGTGATGTTTTTGTATGTAACGTTACAATTTGTGAACTATGCTTGTGGAGGCTCTCAGTCGTACAGGAAAGTTCCATCGTAGAAAGGGTTCTGTCAGTCGTCATCTGTACCTGTGGGTAAAAAACAAA